GGAGGACTTTGCAGGCACAGCAGGGTTTCAAGCAATGGCCGTGTATTTTGTTACCAATGGTTTGTTTGGTGACTGTGGTCCGAACTGTCTAGTTCTGGGCAGATCCCTCACTTTTCTCATAATCATCCTTACTCCATGATGCAAAATCTAGCATGGAACTCCAGACCGAGGACGATTGATAGTTATTTTGCATTTCTTCCATTTGAGAATAATCACTCCAACAGTTGTCTCCTTCTCACCAAGCTTCTTGATGATGGTCTTGCAGCCCATTCCAGCCTTGTGCAGGTCTGCAGTCTTGTCCCTGACATCCTTTGGTCTTGCTCATGATGGTGAGGAAGAATGAGATTCTGTGGAGAGGTGTTTTTTATTCACATAACGAGTTGTCGTTAGGAGCACCTTCCTAAATTGACAGGACTAATATGTGTACCGCATGAGCACATAGCCAGTCTGTGGGAGCCAGAATTATTGTTGGTTGGTAGGGGATCAAATATTTATTTTACTCACTGAACTGCAACACAATTTATAAGATTTGTATCGTGTGTTTTTTCTGGATTTTTGGTTGATATTCTGCCTCTATCATTTAAAATACATCTATGATAAAAATAATAGACCCTTCATTTCTTTGTAAGAGGGCAAATTTACAAAATCTGCAGGGGATTAAATATATATTTTCAAATATATATATAATTTTTTTTTTTTAACTTTCATAAACAAGTGCCTACATGTACGTCAGACCCTGGTTCTTGAAGTGGCACTGATTCGTTGGAAGCTGAAATGTGTATCCCAATCAGTGTGACCCCCTCCCCCAGCAGTGGCTTACAAAACCAGTGCACAAGCAGACTGGCTGCACAGAGAGCATTCATCTGAAATACCTGCTTCACTGGACACAGGCATCACACTCCTGCACAGGTAAACCACATTTCATCTGAATTGATGAATATTTATAAGTATTTTAGGGCAAAGGCTGCAATGATTTGTTTTACTAGTTTGTTTTTCGTGCCCCCCCCCAAAAAAAAAAGAAAAAAAAAAAGAAAATTTATATAGATATAAAATACAAGAATGTAACAATATCCTGACTTTTGTCTGAAGGAATGTACATTCTTTTCTGTCTGGGATTCAGATTAAAACCTGTGTGGGCTTTGCTAAGATAGCCGTATTAATTTAGACTTCTCCCACTCAGCTCCGGGCTGAGCAAAAGAAAATCAATAGCTTCCACCTTCCTTGGCATGGAGGAATCTATTGATCTTCTCTTATTCTGCACCTCCAGCTATTGTATTCAGACAGCTACAGCACCCGTGGCTGTTTGAATATCCATCTTCTAGAATGCAGTCACTGTTCAGCCCATAATTTTTCGCCCAACTCAGTTAACTTTTAAATAAATGCTTGACAAGCAATTTGGCAATGCACCGCTTGAATTTCAATCTATTCACCAGAAATCGGCTGAAATTCAAGCTATGAATGGCTAGTTTGGGTAATAACTCTAAAATAATCTTCAATAAATGTACAGCCTGCTGGCAGATTTTTCTGACCAATGTTTAATTGTCCTCCTGTTTAGTCCCAATGATTTTTCAACCCTAGAAGAAGACCTGTAGTAAGTAAAATATATAGTTTGCCTTTACTGACTTCTTTCTGAAAATATGTGTTCCCTGGTTGGCATGCTGAATGGTTTCATTACTTGCTGACTTGTGTTCCTAGAACAAGTATGCGGGTCAAGGTGTCTGACCTCACTCTTCACTTGCTGCATGCTTGTGTCAGGTCTGTGACTCAGAAAGCATTGTGACCATTAAATCAGTCAAGCAAACAACATGTTCAGAAGGAGGATAGGAGCAGTCTTCATATTTGGTTCAGCATAATTTTCATTTAAGCTGTTTAAAGATATGGGTCCAACCTCCCTCAGACACTAGTATCAGCACCACTGATCCAAAACCAAACATAAGGCTCAGCCAAAATTCCATGTTTATGTGCGCAAAGACAGTGGGGGAAAGAAGGATGGGAGATGGGATAAGTGGAGTGATTTCACTGCATAATTACTGATTTTGCCTTCATTGAGTTATGTAGTCTGACTATAGTTGAGTCTCTTTATTTTCTTTTTGTTCAATCAGTGGGTTGAACAAAAAAAAAATGACTTGATATCCCCATTCCCCAGTCTACACATTCGATGTGGATGGAGGAATCCTCCCTGCTGAGCCTGTAACATTTATGAGCCAGTAGTGATTGAGAATGTGCTGGAAGGGGTTGAGTTACGCAAAAATCTGAACAGGGTAGAATCTCAAATTTGGGAACTTGGAGCAGAGAACATCTTGTATGTTTCTCTCCTCTGCATCATGCTTCGCTCCTCATGTGCCTGACATGTAGGATGTCATTGTGACCTCTCTACTACTGCTTAAAACTGTATCAAACCGAAAATGTAATATCACAATTTACCAATCATTAGATGGGGTGGTTGAACAGTTTTCTTTTCTTTGGCTTTTTTTCCCTCTGTTTTCACTTGGTGATCTGGCCAGTATCACACCTCCTGTATTAATGAAACATAACTCTGGAGGAATGTGCACAGGAGGTGCAGCAGCATTTTCAATCTGGGGGGGGAGTAGAGTTACATGTATCAGAAGATTTAGAACCACTAACAGATTGAAGCCAAACTCCAGCTCACATTTTATAATCAGTTACAGTAAACAGTTTTTTTTTCCTTTCTGAGATAAAGGTTTTACATAGATAAAAGCTGATCATTGTAAGCACCCCAGCCAGTGTTGCGTAGTTTGTCTCATCCATGTAAACTGCTGGAGAGGTTTGTGCTGTGTGTGAAAAAAAAACAGATTCGCTGGCTGGATTACTAAATGAAAATAGTAATAGAAGAAAGAAACCCTAAATAAGGAAACTAATAAAGCCATTGGTAAACTGCAATATAATAAATGTTTGTTTTGGGTTTAATAAGCATATCTACAACCAAAACCAAAAATGCAATATATTGCAGCTTACAAATCATTACATGTGGTGGCTGTATTTGTTTTATGTGTTTAGGCTTTTTTTTCTCCTTTTTCTCCTTTACTTTTACGTAGTAATATGGCTAGTAACACACTTCCTGTCTTAAAGCAGAACTCCGGTCAAAAATGTTTTTTCACCATGTAGTGGGGCTATGCCCCCCCCCCCCCCCCCCCACTGCATGGATCAGCTGCTGCTGTGAGGAGCGGAGAGTACGTTTTGGGTGGTATTTGGATACCAGATCGGTGATGTAGTTTGGAGCAGTATTATGAACAGCTTTCTACGTCAATGTTAGCATTTTGAATTTTATCCGTTGGGCAATCGGGAGCCAGTGGAGGGATTGGCAGAGGGGGGTGGCAGATACGGAGTGGTTAGTAAGGTGGATGAGTCTGGCCGCAGCATTCAATATAGACTGAAGCGGGGATAGCCTGCGGTGAGGTAAGCCGATGAGGAGGGAGTTACAGTGTCGAGTCGTGATATAATAAGGGAGTGGATGAGTTGCTTAGTGGTTTCCGGGGTTAGAAACGGGCATATCTTGGAGATGTTGCAGAGGTGAAGTCTACATGAGTTTGTCAGCAATTGGACCTGGGGCTGGAAGGACAGATTGGAGTCTAGGATGACACCTAGTACTCTGGCTTGAGGGGTGGGACTGATGGTGGTGTTGTTGGTCTTGATGGAGAAGTCGGGGGGGGGGGGGGGGGGGGCGCGTGGGGCTGGGGGGGAAAACTAGGAGCTCAGTTTTGGAAAGATTTAGTTTGAGGAAGTGGAGTGACATCCAATCCGATATACGTTTGGTTAGAAAAACTGGACTTCCCTTCCCACACCTTTTTGTCAGTGGGACCAGTTGTCCTATTCACAAGCCACTACAAAGGTGTGGAAGAAGGAAAGGCTGTATTTATACTTTCTGCCCTTCCCTGGAGTCTTGTACCACCACTGTTATAGCCTTGTTAACAATCTAGTTTGGCCAGGATGGGGGGGTTGACTTTTTCCTAGAAATATGGAAAGGGTTTCTCCTGGAAGGGGCAGGTTTTTTGCTAGTAGGTAGGTGGTATTTTGTTGCAAGGGTCCATTGTTGCTAGGGGAATCTATTGTTACTGGGGGGGATCGGGTCTTTTGCTGCTGGCTGCAGGGACTCTTTTTTTTTTTTTTTTTTTTTACGGCTTTTCTTGTTATCATTAACACCTGGCTTCCATACAAATTACTTAGCACCACAAAATAATTGGCTCTGTATTCTCTCTTAGGATCTGTACTGGGAGGTGGGTAGGTTGTTGAACCAAGAGACTGTGCTCAAAGATGGTTGGGGGTGGAGACAAGAAGTGATTCAGAAAGGGGGGGAGAGGTTCCTACACCTATTCTTTGAGGAAAAAAAGCCCTGTGTATGACTATATCCCAAACCATCACCTACGTCAAAAATTGCCAATGTTTTGGGGTCTCGCAGGGTCACTGTGTCACTTTTAAGGAAGGGGTTTTGTAATGTCCTGAATTGTTGACAGTTTGAAAAATGAACACACATTCTTTGATTAAATGAACAACATTCTTTGCTTAAATGAACACACATTCTTTGATTAAGCGCTGGTGACTACTTTTTTGGGGCTCCATGACTGGCTTGCAATTCAGTGAGGGTCTTCAGTTACTTCTGATGGAGATGGAAAAATGGCAGCAGGCACACTGGCATGGAGCAGAGCTGGAACTGCATCCTATGCCATCTGTATTAAATGAAACCTTCATTTAGAAGCCCATTCTCCTCCTATCGCAGCAGAACTACTCCTCCAATCCAAATCATAAAACTTCACATGGTTTTCCCTAATGTAAGGTCACAAGTTAAGGTGACACTTCTGTCATACTACCTGTAGAGGGCACTGCTTGAAAAGGGTAGATCACTATGCAGAGTATATCAATGAAATGTGCATACAAATGATTCTATAGCTGTATTCAATTCTCTTTGCACTGAGACTGTTCTCTTGGTTACAGATATCGCTGTCTTATTATATTTTATTTTATTTTTCAGGGATCACTGCATCATGCACTTCATATTTTCCTTGCTCTTTCTTCCGTTGGTTTATACATCCTATGGTGTTCAATCAGAGGCAAGGCAAAGAAATGAGGCTGAAATTTTAAAGGACATATATGAAAGAGTAGATGATTTATGGAATGTATATGGTAGCAGATATTCCTTTCTAAATAATGCTGACAAGGTGATTTATGCTACCTGTAATCTGCAACCAAATCCTCTACTGAATGCAACTGAGCCTAAAATCACCGGAAAAATCCTGTTTAAGCAGACCTATCCGCAAGGGAAACTGGAGGCATACTTTGCTATACAAGGATTTCCTCTGAATCCAAGTGAATCCACAAGAGCCATTCACATCCATGCCTTTGGTGACTTCAGTAATGGCTGTAACTCTGCTGGAGGACACTACAATCCATATTCTGTAAATCACCCCTATCATCTTGGGGATTTTGGCAATTTCCACATCCAGAATGGAGAGATCCAGCAACACCTCACTAATCTTAAATCTAGCCTGTTTGGCCCAGTCTCTGTTATGGGTAGATCAGTTGTTGTACACAAGCATATTGATGACCTTGGCAAAGGCAATAATCAGGCCAGTCTGGAAAATGGAAATTCTGGACCACGTCTAGCTTGTTGTGTGATTGGGTTCACCGATAATGCCAACTGGGATAAGTTGATGCCAGGGTCTGATGGTAAATAGCATGATAAATCCTTATTAAATAGTAATTGAAAAGGTCAATCTACTAAAATAAAACAAAATAATAAAAAAGATGATAGTAAGGTTTTCATAGCTCTTGGAGGGTTGAACCCTGTGGGAGCGTTATGCACCTGAGATTTAAGCTCCACTGATCTCCTGCATCCACAATGAGGGAGTCTCACTCTATTGGTCGAAGAATTTTACATTTTGTAATACATTTTACTATATTCAACAAGATATAATAGTTTTGTAGATGGTAGGTGGGGAAAGGGGGAATCTGGCAGAGAAATCTTATTACTGGCATTTCCCAGAAATATAACAAGTCAATGGGCCACTCGCTGACCTTTATCAGTCACTGAAATACCAGTTTTAAGTAACTGTGGTGACCAATAATGCATAATCACTCTTTTAAGTTGGTCATTGAGATCAGTGTGTTCAAAATGTATGTTTTTTGTTTGATTTAATTGCCTTTTTAAATTGCTGTTAAATAAAAGTTGACTTGAAATCAAGAAAACATGTTTACGCTCAGATATTTGCATCTGCATGATAAACTGCGCAACATGGCCAAATCTATTGCTGAATGTTTGAAGTATAAAGAATACAAATCAAATCATATTGTGACCCATATAAAGGACTTAAACAGCAGTGTGGTTAGCCTAATACCAGTATGACAGTTATATTGGGAGTCCTAAGGTACCCATAGATATGAGGTGACATGAGGATCAGCGTACCGCCAGACAATTAATATTTGCAGGAGAAGGCCAGTAATGGCATCCTACTGATCTCACTACAATATTGTTTGAAGTGTTACCATCATCTCTCCTTCTTACATAGTGCTATACAAAAGAAGACATTCTGTAGTCGTCTATATAGCTGTACTCTTTGTTGGACTACAACAAAATGGCACTCCCCCCAGCACACTGTTAAGGCACACTAATCGTCACAAGCTGTGTAAGAGTGGCTTCATATTGGTCTCCAACCATGGGAAAACCCTCACTCTCTCTCCATTCTTTCATAATTCTAGTCTCACATTTTGTCGTGGTGTTTTGACTTTTTAATTGTAAAGCCAGGCAGATCACTTGTTATGAGAATTAATATTGTTAATATTTACATATTGTTTATCCTGTAAGTTTGTCTTTAGGAACATGTTCTATGTTACACCCAAATTTAGGGTGTAACATGTTACTAAGCACCCCAGTCCTCACACCCTGATCAATGTACGCATAGTCCATTGACACTTCCTCCAGCTTTCGACCTGAAAAAGCTGAAGGAAGTGTCTGCAGGAGCCTGACACTGCACCCTCGATTCACGGATCACAGGTGCAATGCTTTGCAGGCTCCTTTGGGGAAAAATAACAAATGCACATTGTTTTCCCCAGAAAAAAAAAACCCTTACAGTATACCTAGTGAAGTGACTATTGTCAGGTGATATATAGGAGGATTTGTTAAATCTCTGTGTAAGTTGTACTTGATAATCTGCAGTCTTCTCTTCTCTACATCTGTTCAAAGTCCAGAATTTATAAAGCTTGTCTGAGCTTCCAGATAAAAGGGGGCAGAGAGCTGAAATTACACCCTGCAGAGCTCAGAGAGGAGAGCTCTGAGAGCTGACTGAGAGGGAAGGGACACCCCCCCCCTTCACACAGTTCACAGGAACAGAGTTGAGGCTGTCACTCTGCTGGAGGTCTCTCCCCTGTCACCATTTTTCTCTTGGTGTCAGGAACACTTCTCAGAAGTGATTCATACTGATAGCAGAACAAAGCAGCAGACAGAAATGACACTTAGTGCTCTGGATTGAGACAAATACACACTATAAAGGGGTATGCTTTGTTCTTATTTCATGTCTGAGGTTTACAACCACTTTAAAGGTGTTTGTTTGTTTAATTTCAGGATGTCAGTAAAAAATTATATGCTCTGTCATTTATTTTTTTTATGCTTTGTCAGTAAAAAAAAAGTTGTTGGGGGTTGGCAAACCTGGGCATCAGCATACACTGACCAGCATTGCAGACTACAGCCTGCAGCACTGGTGGAATGGGGAAAACCGACAAGGCAGCTGTATAGAAGATGATCTCTAATGCCAGTCCATATATGGCCAGCTTTACTGATTTTGGGGGGTTTCTATCCGCATGCTCCTGCCATTATTTTAATTCAGCACAGATGTGAATGAAAAGACTAATAGTCCCATCTGTGACTGTGGCAGAGGAACCCGTAGATCGCAATAGCACATAGGTGCAGTGACATTTCTGCCAATACTTCCCCCAGTCCCGCAAATGAAAGTCTGTGACTCCAGTCACTCTGGAGACCACCTCCCCCCCTTAATCTATGCTCCTCCCAGCAGTCCTCAGCCAAGGGGGTGTAGCCAGAGGTAGTGAACCCACTCCCCAAACTTCACCTGTGGCCAATGACAGCTGCAGTGGGAGAGCACGGTGAGGGTTCAGTCCATGCAGCTGTAGTCCGAGGAGTGACACGGATCGGGGCTACACATGTATGCAGATGAAGACACACTCCACTCAATGGATTGAACAATACCAGATTAGATGAACACTGTGTGTATTAGAAATACAGTGCTTTGAAAAAGTATTCATACCACTTGAAATTTTCCACATTTTGTCATGTTACAACCAAAAACGTAAAGTATTTTATTGGGGGGGGCGCATGCGCGGCCAGGGACGATGGCGGCTGCATTTTAGCTGAGCTCCGCTCATCCCGGCCAGCGCGGACTCACCTGCTACACGCCACTGCTTCCCTGCTAATAAGGGTGAGTCCCATCCACTTGGCACCCGGCCCGGCTCCAGGGAGAAACCTGTATGGGGAAGATAGGGCGCTGGAAGCCCCCCTCCCCGCAGCCACCGGATTCGCGGCCCTCGCGCTCCGGCGGTTCCTGTCCAGGCCGCAATCCCCGGCCTCCAGTATGCCCAGGAACCCAGGGAGAGATCCCAGCCCCCCGGTGGTCACGGATGGTACTGCAACCTTCATGCCTGTCAGCTTCCATGCCTGCCTCTGCCCTGACTCAGCCCCAGATGGGAGGACTCTGATCCCCATAATATAACTGGGGATTCCCAGCATAAAACTGGGGGGGCAGCAGAATACTCTGCATCGGGAAATCATCCTCCCTCCACCCAGATATCTCAGCAAACCATACCGTCTCCTTCCTCACACTTTCAGCGCTAGATGACAAGTTGCAAATTTTTCTGCGCAATATTAACGCATCCATATCCGCTGAAATTGGAAAGCTGGCATTAGATCTCAGAGGGGAAATAACTCCAGATTGGAGACCGCACGGATAAATTGGAGACTGAGTTTGATGATTTGGTGCAATACGTTCATGTTTTGGAAAAGGATAACGCATATTTGAAGCATTCCATGTCCCAAATGCAACTCCAGCAAGAGGATTTAGAAAACCGGGAACGGCGCCAAAACATCCGTATACGCGGTAATGTCCGAATCATCGCTGATGCGCAATTGCACCGTCACCTTCTGTCCCTCTTTAGCGCAATTGCTCCATTGGTTCCGGAAACGGATTGGCGAATGGATAGGGCTCATCGCTCACTGGGCCCAAAACTGTCGAGGGCACCAGACCACGCGACGTCATAGTTCGCTTCCCACTTTTTTCAGAGCAAAGAAGCCTTATTATCAGCTGCTCGCCACAAATCATCTCTGGAATTTAAAGGTGACAGACTCCAACTCTCTTCTGCGATTTGTCTCCGACTACCTTGGCCAAGAGACGAGCCCTGAAGCCGCTCACCACACACCTCCAACAACATCATGTCCTTTACCGATGGGGGTTTCCTTTCAAAATTGGTCGTGACTAGGGATAATTCGTGCTTCGTGATCTTCAAGAGGTGGATTTCCTTCTTAAAGCACCTGGGACTTCCACCTTTGCCTGAAGATGTGTCCCCTCTGCCCACCAACTCCATCTCGTCCATCCGCCACCCCCAACAAGATCTGGACTCCAGTCCGCGGAGGTCGGAAGAGACTCACACGTACCCCACAGCGTCCACGTCACCCTCAGTAGATCAATCCATCTGTATGATGATTCTCTGGGGTGCCCTTCCGATGTGTTTCCGGTGATGATCCTTCCTTCCTGGGTTTTTTTTTTACATAATATTTTTTTCTTTTTGGGTTTCTCTTTTCTGTCCGGTCCGAACCATTGTTGGGTGCATTTTCTCACTTCTGTTTTATCTGGCTGGGCATGACGATTTTTCTGATGTCTTGGTTGTCGTGCTGCTCCCGAATTTGTCTAGCCATAGGCCTAGACGACTTGGGCCAATTGGTTGTTCCCGAGTTTATATCCTCATGGATACTTATGTCAATTTCTATGTTTACACCTTTCTGTGTTACTTTATTGTTTTTTGTTTTTTTTTCTATTGCATCGATGGTATTTCATTTCTTTTTTAGGCTAACACATTTGCTTCAATTTTTGTTATTTTATAATGGCTTTGCGGTTTATGTCGTATAATGTCAAGGGCCTCAACTCCATTCAAAAAAGGTGGATGGCTTTGAGGGAATTTCGATCCTCAGGAGCAGACATTATTTTTGTTCAAGAGACCCATTTCAAATCAGCTGGCTCCTTTCGTTTTGCCTCAAGATTTTTTCCCCAAGCCTATTCGGCCTTTGATCCCTCCGGGAAAATTGGCTGGGTGGCAGTTTTGATTGGGTCGCACTGCTCCCTTCGGATTGTTTCCTCCAGAGTTGACCAAAAAGGTTGTTTCATTATTCTGGAATGTATGCTGGGTAACACTCCCCTTGTTCTGCTGAATTTATACGCCCCCAATACGGGTCAATTGCAATTTCTTTCCCAAACACTCGCCGCTTTTAGACTCTTTTTCCACTTCACATGTGATTGTTGGGGGTGATTTTAATTTGATTTTATCCCCCATAAGGACAGGAAAGTTCTTTTTGAGTCCACACCCTCAAAGCGGCAATGCTCCGCTTCAAAATCCTTTCGTAGACTGATAAGGGAGCATCGTCTCTTCGATGCTTGGCGGATTAAACACCCCACCCATA